AAGCAAAAACGGCTCTGCTAAGAAAGAGTGTAGTATGCATGGCTCCTAAAATCTATAATAAAATTCCTCAGATGTATAAATCATTGAACAGCAATCTTTTTAAAAAATAAATTCAAAAAACTTCTAATTGAAAAATGCTACTACACTGTAACGGACTTTCTCAATGATAAATTTTGACATTATATAATTGCCTTATACATACATATATTTTTAATTATGACTGTAGTAAGTAATAATCTCGCTGACTTTGTATATTGATAGACTTTGCCAATGTTAAATGAAAATTAACAATCTAATCACTTTAAATTTTACACACCGAATATGACGGTAAGACATGTTGACACTGATAACACTAACACCCAAGAACATATCTCTGCCCATGCATTGTATATCTCACACATGTTTGAGTAAATAAAAATATCTTATCTTATCTTATCTTATCTTGTCGAGCGTGTACCTGCTGTACTGCCATATGTTAGAGGAGTCACTGACAAGATTGGCCACATCTTGAAGCGCGCTTCCATCAAAACATACTTCAAGCCGCTGAAGAAGATTGGTCAGTTTTTACCATCGGTCAAGTGTAATGTCCCTCTGCAAGATGCAGGAGTGTACAAGCTTGATTGTGAATGTGGTCTCTCCTACATAGGACAAACTAAAAGATCAATAAAAACCCGCGTTAAAGAACATATAGCTGATGTGAAGAATCGACGCTCCGGGAAGTCTGCAGTCTGTGAACACGTACAGGATCGCCCCCGTCACTACATCAGATTTGATAGACCGCAGATCCTCGCTAAAGAACACCGATTCCTTCCAAGGATGATTCGCGAGGCTTTTGAAATCAAAAAACATCCTAATTTCAATAGAGAAGATGGCTGGGTGCTACCATCTGCTTGGGATCCTATAATAAATAAAATTAAATCCCAACCCAAGCATACAACTGCAAAACTTCAAGATACCATAAGTTCATACTGCATAGATCGGAACAAAAGTTAAATTTTAATCTATGGTAACCGCGGTTAACTATGACATATGGACGTTGAACATCTCAGTCCTGCCCGTGACCATGAGTGCTGTAAAGCGTTCGAAACGTCGGGTAATTAAAAAGTTAAATACACGCGATAAATTCCGTAAAAACTAGTATTATTTCAAAATACCATAGGTCATACTGTGTATAGAAAAAAGACCCATACAAACCGATACTTAAATGGTGAATCTCACCATCATCCTTCACAGTTAGCTACCGTGGGCAAATCTTTGTTTCAGAGAGCACGAGGGATCTGTGACAGCAAACACCTGGCCGCCGAGCTTCAGCACGTCAAGCAGGTTCTGCACGACAACAAGCTTCGGGTCCCGCGCCTCCGTCACAGTGACTGAGTGAAGCCGGCCACAGTCGAGCGTGTGCCTGCTATACTACCATATGTCAGAGATGTCACAGACAAGATTGGCTACATCTTGAAGCGAGCTTCTATTAGAACATTCTACAAGCCGCCGAAGAAGATTAGTCAGTTCTTACCATCCGTCAAGTGTCATATTCCTCTACAAGATGCAGGAGTGTACAAGCTTGATTGTGATTGTGGTCTCTCATATATAGGGCAAACAAAGAGATCAATTAGAACCCGCGTAAAAGAACACATAGCTGACGTGAAGCATCAACGTTCCGGGAAGTCTGCAGTTTGCGATCATATTCTAGATGGCCCCAACCATTACATCAGATTTGATAGACCACAAATCCTCGCGAAAGAACATTGATTCCTACCAAGGATGATACGTGAGGCTATTGAAATTAAAAAACATCCTAATTTCAATAGAGAAGGAGGCTGGGTACTACCACCTGCTTGGGATCCTATAATTAATAAAATTAAAACTAAACCCAAGCATACCACCGCAAGACTTCAAAATACAGTTAGTTCATTCTGCGTAGATCGGACCAAAAACAATAATTAAAAATCTGAAGGTACTCCGGGTTAACTTTGACATCGGGACGTCAGTCACCTCAGTCCCCCGTGACCATGGGTGCTGGAAAGCACCCCGAAACGTCGGGTATTAAAATTAATATAAATAAAACGCGATAAAATCCGTAAAAGTAGTTTTAATCAAGGTTGATAGAAAATTCATCAAGGATCGGTTCGTACACTTTTCATGTATCGTGAACAGTTATCTTTAAAACTGAAAGAAAACGCGTTTGAGGCACTTTATGGGGCGTTCATCCGTGAGGGGGGAGAGAGAGTGGGTAAAGTTTAATTCCATCAAAAACGTAATTTGTAAAAAAAAGAACCAAGTCAATCTATATATTTAAACATAAAAGATTTTTAACATTGATATGGTCTCTGTAAAATTTTTCTAGGTTAGCTAATTACGTACCTAATAACTTAAAACAGAAGGACCCTTAAGTAGGGACTGAATAAATTAACCGACTTTGTATTACATGGATCTCACAACTTTTTACGGTAGAAGAACTGAGTTGCGAGACTTGGTTTTTTTAAGTTATGTTTTTGATGGCATCTCATTTATTTTTGTAGATAAGATAGTTCTATTTTTTTATCTTTTCGGTACCTTTTACTACTTGAATACCAACAACGTACTTATCTACACCATACATACAAAAGTACACTGATTCATTCACTGCAAATGTAACTTTGTAATTCTATATACTTATATGATATTACAAAGTTATTAATGCAGTTGGTGTATCTAGAAAACTGGACGGAAGTTAAAAAATATTTTAGTTTTTCCTTGATTTAACTAAACCCTAATTGTGTTCTAAATTTGAAGCGTCTATGTCTGCTAGAAGTGCCTTAGAGTATTGATGATCGGTCAGTCTGTGAGTGACAAAATTAAGAAACTTTGCCTAGTTATAATTCTTAAACTACAGGATCAAATTGAATGAAATTTGAAATATACCATGTTTATACAATGCCTACTTGCTAACTGAAAATTCAGGCTTCTAGTTTTATCCACTACGAAGTTATAAGGGGTCGAAAAAGGCCTGAATTGCTTCGAGAAAAGTATGGTACGGCCGTGCCGCTTTTTGCTCGACTTGGTGGGGGCACTTCCGTGCCCCCAGATTTTGCTGTATAGCGTACATATTCCGATAGAAAAAGTAATACATTAATTTTGCCCATTGTTTAGCTAAAATGACTGAACTAAATGAGCGAGGTGTCATGTCATGTCGCGCGGCGCAGACACGTGACATACGCGGGCGGGGAAACCGTGGGGCACAGCTATATGAAATATTGTTAAAACAAAAAACAATTCTTAAAATTTTTGTGTCTTTTTTTCTGTTTGTTCCAGTTAATCTCCGAAATGGCTGAACCAATTTTGTCAGAACTTTCACTGGCAGATAGCTGATGTTATAAGGGTTAACTCAGTCATATTTTTATTTTAGAAAAATTCAAATCAATGATATTTAATCGTAGGTAATAAATTTCACGCGAACCAAGTCGCGGGGAACCGCTGGTCGTTCATATGGTTTACTTTGAAGTAGATTTTCGAACGTAAAAGTGATGTGATTTTGTGTATTAAGTGTCTGAGTATGTGAACTGTTACAATGCGATTTAAATAAATATAGGTACGTCAATGACCTCGAATAACTGCGATCTGTCAACTGTCACTTGAAAAGTACAGCTTGCAAAGAAAATTAATTTGCGTATTAATAACAGTTTTTTTTTGCTTTATTTAACTGATTCACAGTATTACCAAATCTACTAAACTCATAATTCTTTTATTCATTTAAAATATTGATACTAGTTGGTGGTATATTTTAAATACCTACATAAACAGTGTCTGTGTTCTATTTTTATGAGGGAATAAGGCCGTGATGATAATGATGACTACTCAGATGATGCAGAGATGAGCGAAATCAAAATGCTAGATTCAGATTAATATTTTTTCTTTCGTGGTTATCTTGTAAAAGAAATTTTATTTCAAAAATATCTGTTCTGATCACTCTACCTAACTGGTTTGAATTGACCGTCACAATATGGCGTCAGATCAGTGCTATTTTTATTTGAATTGCATTAATAGTGGAAATGAAACAAATGTTCCGATGTTGACTGTAAACTTCAAGTTATTTTGTCGTTTAGGCGTTCACATACTGTCGTCATAGACTATCCGTTGGGTTTTGCTGTCGTCAAAATATTCCAAGAACTTCTCAACGTGACACATAGGCGTATTATGAAAAAGTTTTTATGAAAAAATTATTAAAATAGATTGTTTTTATTACTTGACACTGGCAAAATAATAACCATACGCGTCCATAACTAAATAAAAAGCAAGTATTAATATAACAGTACCTTTGCACTGAGAAACATCCAACACGTAATGTTTTGAAACAAATCGCATAAAATAAATCACACAATATGTTTTGTTGATGGTGACGTTCACACCGTAGAAAGTTCCCTGTCTACTCACAAAAACTGTCTAAAATTTTCAAATGTTCAAACGTTTCTTTCAACATGATAATATTTCTACAAATTTTTTTTCAAATATTTTGTTTCCGTAGTTATAAAGATATAATATGTATATTTAAATTATAAAATGTACAATAAACTGTCAAACATATTTCACTACAACATGTTCTTTGAATATGCGAACGCTTTTTGATACATTGGCAGAAAACAGTGTTTAAAACATGCTTTTTTTTTTGTGAAAATCGCGTCAGTGCAAAGTCACAGTAAGGCAACGCCATAACACGTACATTAATCTCCTTGACATCTTTAAACAAAAGGTGAAGTGATTCACAATTAACAAAACCAGTTAAATGGCGTCTGAGTGGAAACGGTGTTAAGGAAGTTTAAATTTAATGTCAGAGTTACTTCCGGGTAATCATCCACGCGTTAATTATAATAAAAAGCCACTATAATAATAATAAATCGAAAATATTTGATGATGCCGAACTCGAACGACTACGACGTGAGGCTATCCCATCGTCGAATGAATCGGCTATGGCTGAAGATGCAGCTCCACATCCGAGAGACCAGCATCCACACGTGGAAGCCGCCATGGATCTTCCAGTTGTGGTTGATTCGGACGACGATGAAATAGTCTCCCACGAACTAGAGCAAATGAGGAGTATATTGGAAGAGGCGATTTTGGAAACGCGCAGCACCCCTCTCGAAAATCTACCGCGACTTCCCCGCATACCCCTAAGCAAGCGAAATCGGGCTGTCGTGAGGGCTCTTAACCCAATGCTGGTGACCTATTTGGAAGCCAGCCGGGATCTTTGCGAGACGGACTCAATTCTCTTTGGCGCCGCAGTGGCAGTTTGCCGTATTATTGGCGCCAAACTTCCCATGGCTGGACGCGCTACTACACAAAGTAGCGCCATCCCAGCCTGGAGAAAAAGAATCGAGGACCGTATCGCAAAGGCAAGGGCCCTTATCGGCAGACTGACAAGCTTCAGGTCGGGTAATAATAGATCAAGGATTGTGCGCACCGTTAGGATGGCGTTTGCTGGAACAAATATCAGTTTGTCCCAGCCGGATATCACGCAGAAACTAACGGAGCGCATAGACGACCTGAAGCAAAAGATCGCTGCTTGGGGGAAGCGAATTCGACGATTTACCGAGAGGTCAAGGCGGTTCAACCAGAATCGTCTCTTCCAGAGTGATCAGAAGAGGCTCTATAAATCATTGGAGCGACCAAAGGTATGTGGAGCGGGCCAAGGACCGGATCAGGCTGACATTATCGCATTCTGGCGTGGCCTGTGGTCAGAGCCCGTAAACCACAGCGAGGGCCCATGGGTGGAAGTTGTGGCGAGCCAGGGTGCGAGTGTTACGCCTATGAACCCCATCACCATAACGCCGGAAGACGTGGCTGAGGCGGTCCGTAGGGCCCCGAACTGGAAAAGTCCGGGGCTCGACGGGCTGCATCATTACTGGCTGAAGGGGTTCATAGTGTGTCACGCTGTGCTCGCCCGACAGTTTCAAGAGGCTCTCGACCAGAAGTCGCTCCCGAGCCTCTTCACTACTGGGATCACTCACTTGGTTCCTAAAGATCAGGATACCACAGACCCGAGCAAATACCGCCCCATCACGTGTCTACCCACCATATATAAGACAATGACATCCATTTTGAGCGCGAGAATCGCTCGTCACCTGGAGCTAAACCAGGTGATGTCACGCGCTCAAAATGGATGTCGGGGCGGCGGTCGTGGAACCAAGGAACCACTCCTCATTGACGCGGTCATTGGCAAAGTGGTGAAACGCAACCGTCGGAACTTCTCTGCCGCCTGGATAGACTACAGAAAGGCGTTCGACTCGGTGCCCCATACATGGCTAAAGAGGGTCCTCGAGCTGTACAAGATTGACTGTACAGTTAGTTTGAGACTTCCTCGAGCAGTGTATGGGGCAATGGAGTACGATCATTTGTCATCGGGGCGAGCGGATGATGGCTGCGGAGAACCACATAAGGATAAGAAGGGGTATCTTCCAGGGCGATTGTCTGAGTCCAATTTGGTTCTGCCTCTCTCTGAACCCTCTCAGGACCTTACTGGAGGGCTCCGGGAGGGGGATTTCAGCTACGGAAAGGAGGAACAAAAGTGACCCACCTTTTCTATATGGATGACCTCAAGTTATTCGCCTCCAGTCGCTCCCATCTTATGGACAAACATCACTTGTGAATTTAGCAGTTCCATTGGAATGAAGTTGGGGACGGATAAGTTTGCGGTCCTCCATGTTGAAAGGGGAAGGGTTGCTAACTCTGAGGGCATAGACTTGTCTATGCCCGTCATCTTAAGGACCCTTTCCGAGGCTGAAACATACCGATATCTGGGTATGTCACAGAACATCGGTATCGATGAGGCTGGTATGAAACAATCAGTTTGCGACGTGTTTTATGCACGCTTGACCAAAGTGCTTAACAGTCTTTTGTCCGATGTGAATAAGTCACACGCATATAACTGCTGGGTCATGCCTGTCCTCATGTATACCTTTGGCATACTCAGGTGGACTCAGACTGAACTTAACGCCCTGGATAGAAAAGTCTGCACTACCATGACGTCCCATAGGATGCATCATCCGAGATCGTCGGTAATGAGGCTGTACTTGCCGCGAAAGCATGGTGGGCGTGGCTTTCTGAGCGCGCTCATCATGCATAATCGCGAAGTGTGCAGTCTCCGTCAATACTTCTTGGCGAGATCGGATGATCCATTCTATATTGACGTCATTTCTAGTGATAAAGGGCTTACCCCTCTATCCTTAGCCAACGAGCAATGGCAGGACCCAGCAGTGCTTAGCATTTCCGACCGGGAGACCGTATGGAAGGAGAAGGAGCTCCACGGGAGGTACTACAAGGCTCTACATGAGCCCTTCGTAGATACAGTAGCCTCCCTCAACTGGCTACGTTTCGGTGACCTCTTCCGGGAAACCGAGGGTTTTGTCTGTGCAATACAGGATCAGGTTATTAAGACCAACAACTATCAGAGATACATCCTAAAGGATGACGGATTGACGTCTGTCGAGCTTGTCTCTATCCCGGGGAGTCACTTTTTTTGGGAGGTTTTTCGGCGCTTTCTAACTCTGAGTACTTGCACAGGCACAACCTAGTAGCCAGAATTCTTCACCAGGAGCTCGCTCTGAAATACGGTCTCGTGGACCGGAAACTGCCGTATTACAAGTACTTGCCGGAAGCCGTGCTCGAAAATGACCGCGCCAGGCTGTACTGGGACCGGGCCATCATCACTGACAGGACTATTCTTGCGAATAAGCCTGATATTGTGCTGATGGACCGGGCACAGTCAAGGATATTTTTGGTCGACATTACCATTCCGTATGACGAGAACTTCGTGAAAGCCGAAACATATAACCGAACAAAATATCTGGACCTGGCTCACGAGGTGACCGACATGTGGGGTGGTCGGCCGACCGAAATTATTCCTGTAGTCGTCTCTGCGAATGGGCTAATCCCAGTCAGCCTCTCGGGTCATCTGAGGCGACTGGGAATCCGTGACGGACCGCTGTGGGCTCAAATGCAGAAGGTAGTGGTCCTCGATACCGCCCGCATCGTCCGCCGGTGTCTTTCCCTTTTCTCCTAACCCTCGGCCGGTTGGTCTCCTCTGCCTAGGGCTTCCATCTGGTTGGATCTTTATTTATTTGTGTATTTTTTGTATTTATTTTTTTTTATTGATATTTATGTATATTTATCTTTTCATTTTAATTTATAATTATAATATATAATTATATATTTATAGAAATCAACCAGATGAGAAAACTATACAGATACCCCTATAATAATAATAATAATAAATCAAAAGTCATTTATCCGGCGGAAACAAAATTAGAGCATATAACTCCTGGGTAATACCTAGCCTTTTATATACTTTTGGTGTTACAAGGTGGTCTCAAACAGAATTGGATGACTTAGATAGACGAGTCCGTACATTAATGACTACGCACAGAATGCACCACCCACGATCATCTGTCATGAGGTTGTATCTTCCAAGAAAAGATGGTGGACGGGGCTTATTAAACATTAAAAACCTACACAACCGTGAAGTATACAACCTCAGAGACTATTTTATTAAAAAAAAGACACATCACACATTCATAATGACGTAGTGATTAATGACAAATCATTAACCCCGCTTAATATGTCGGCAAAGGACTGGCAGAGGCCTCATACTATGTCTATAGATGAACGCAAAAAAGGTTTGGAATGACAAACAACTGCATGGTCGATTTTTTAAAGCATTGACTAATCCTTGTGTAGACATGGTTGCATCAGTACATTGGTTACAATTTGGTGACCTTTTTGCAGAAACTGAAGGTTTTATCTGTGCAATACAAGATGAAGTAATTAAAACGAACAACTACCGGAGATACATTTTGAGGGACGGCACAGGTGACGTATATCGCGCATGTCACCACCCTGGAGAGTCCCTCAGACATGTTATTTCCGGTTGTTCACAACTATCAAATGGTGAGTATTTGCACAGACATAACCAAGTAGCTAGAATAACACACCAACAGCTTGCCATTAAATTTGGCTTTACTCAACAGGACGTTCCATATTATAAGTATGAACCAAAGCCAGTCCTTGAAAATAGAAGTGTCACACTGTACTGGGATCGGTCAATTATCACAGACAGGTTTATAGTGGCAAATAAACCTGACATTGTGGTGATAGACCGAACTACACGCAAGGCAATAATAGTGGATATCAGTGTTCCTCATGACGAGAATCTCGTAAAAGCAGAGAATGATAAAAAAAATTAAATATATCGACCTGGCTCATGAGATTGTCGCTATGTGGGACGTTGATTCTACTATTATTGTACCAATAGTTGTATCAGTCAATGGGCTTATTGGTAAAAATATGGACGGTTATCTGTCCAAGTTAGGTTTAGGCAAATGGCTGAAGGCATTAATTCAAAAAACGGCTTTTTTTAAATACGGCTCGAATAGTAAGAAGGTTCCTATCTTTGGATGCCTAACTTCACCGATGGCTTAGAATTCCTCGCCGTGGTGGATAATAACCGAAATAATAATATTATTTATATAGATTGTATTTATATTTATAATATTATAGTTTTGTGATAATATATGTGATAAAAATAAATAATAATAATAAAAGGCTACAAAATACAGATGCGTAATTAAAATAAAGAAATTATAGGCATCTGTATTTCGTAGCCTTCTTTATTTGAAAGAAAGGGAGAACTATTTATTGGAGCTCCCATGGCGCAAGAGAACGATTCTTTGAAATCTATCCGTAACCCGTAGGCCAATTCACATATTTTTTTTCGGAAATATTTGTAGCTCAACGCAGACAAGGTTTGTAAACAATAAACATCTGAATTTGTCTAAAGGATATTAAAAAATAACCAAAAACTAAATTGTCTATGGGAAAATACATGCAAAGCAAAAGCGCGCGCTTTTGTAATAATTATTGAGAAAAGATTTAATTTAAAATATGCTGTGCATGTTTTTTTTTTTTTTTTTTTAAAAAAAAAAATATCTTGAAAAATCTATTGAAGGATTTATCGGAATTTCGGAACGCATAGCAATGATGAACCTGAAACTACCGGGATATAAAGATCCTTGGTCTATTTTACAAATATATTCACCAACAGAACAAACTGACTTAGAAACCATAGATAAATTCTACCTCGATCTAAATAACACTATCCAAGAACAGGCCCACAAAAACTTAATCATCATGGGTGACTTCAACGGCCAAATTGGAACTAGGCGCCCGGGTGAAGAAACAACACTAGGACCATTCATCTACAGAAATAAAAGAAGGAGCAGAAATGGAGAAAAACTTATAAACTTCACACTAGAAAATAACCTAACTATTTTAAACTCAGTATACAAGAAAAACAAAAAGAAGATGTGGACATGGGTTTCACCAGATGGGAAAACAAAGAACCAAATTGATTACATGATTACTAACAGAAACAACTGCTTTACAAATTTTGATGTCATCAACAAGCTCAACTTCAATACCAACCACAGACTAATTCGAGCTGAAATAAAATCAGTACAACCGAAAAACTCTAGACCGAGGCAGGAACTACCAACTATCAAGCTCAGCAAGCAACAAAACGAGCAACTAGTACTCACCCTAAAGGACAAATTTACAGACCTAGAAGAGTACGCAAAGATAGCAGGAACTCAGGAAAAATACAACTGGATAGAGACTACTATTAAAGTTCAACTACAACACATTAATAAGATAAAACCTGATCCCAGGAACGTGTTATCAACTAGTACTATAAAATTGCTAGAACAAAGAAACCAGCTAATCAACACAAAAGATATAAACGACAGAAGAAAGCACATAGCGAAAATCAGTAAAGACATCAATGAAAGCATAAGAAAAGACAGCAAAAGAAGAAGAATGGAAATTATCGAAAAACATGTAATCAAAACAGGAGGTGTTAAAAAAGCTAACAAGGAATTAACAAACTCAAAAGACTGGATCGCAAAAATTAAAAACCTCAGCGGAGAATACAGCCACCACAGAAAAAACATCTTACAAATTGCCACATCTTATTACAGAAAGATATACGAACACAACATCGCTCAAGACGAAGACGACTTAGAGGAAACCTCAAACGTCCCTAACATCCTTATGAGTGAAGTAATAAATGCTATAGATAGCCAAAAGAAAGACAAGGCACCAGGACCAGATGGCATAAACAATGAAATCTTAAAAGAAAGTAAAGAAGTTATAGCACCAGTCCTTATTGACATATTCAACGAGATACTAACCACCGAAATTATCCCACAGCAATGGACACAATCAAACATTATTCTTCTATATAAAAAAGGAGACAAATATGAAATCGGGAACTATCGCCCCATCAGCCTAATGTCCAATTTATATAAAGTATTTGCTAAGATCTTACTAAATCGGATTGAGAAAACATTAGACGAACACCAACCCATTGAGCAGGCGGGTTTTCGTAAAGACTACTCAGTGCTCGACCACATTCACGTAGTACGCCAAGTTATGGAGAAGTATAAAGAATACCAACTGACCTACTATATTGGATTCATCGACTACAGCAAGGCGTTCGATTCTTTATTTCACGCAAAGATATGGGAGTCATTAAAAGAACAAGGAATTGATCACAAGTATATCCGCTTAATTAAAAACGTTTACAACAAGAGTACAGCGAGAATACAACTGGAAAAGAAAGGCGAATGTTTCAAAATCGGCAAAGGCGTACGACAAGGAGACCCTCTGTCACCAAAATTATTCTCGGCGGTGCTTGAGTCAATATTCAGAGGTCTTCATTGGGAAAATCTCGGTATCAACGTAGATGGTCGTTCACTAACTCATCTGAGATTCGCGGATGACATTGTGCTATTTGCAAAAACTCCCGAAGATTTAACAAAAATGATAAACGACTTAGCAATGGAAAGCAAGAAGGTGGGTTTACAACTGAACCCAGAAAAAACTAGGGTGCTGACCAATGGAGAGAGAACAGCTATAAACTTAGGGAGTAATCAAATCGAGTATGCGGAAGAATATGTTTATCTGGGACAACTAATAACGAATGATAACCCCATGCGCAAAGAAGCTGAAAGAAGAATAACCAACGCCTGGAAAAGGTACTGGACTTTGAAAGAGATTATGAAGGATAAAAATCAGCATATTAATATAAAAAGCAAACTTTTTAACACGTGCATACTGCCAGTTCTCATGTACGGCAGTCAAACATGGACCTTGTCACAAAACCTGACTAACAAACTTGCAACATGCCAGCACGCAATGGAAAGAAGCATGATGAATGTGAAAAAATCGGACCGACTGAGAAACTGTGTAATAAGAAGCAAAACAAAGGTTACAGACATAACGCACAAAATTAGAAGACTGAAGTGGCGATGGGCGGGGCACATGATAAGAGGAAGAGATAAATGGAGCAAAAATGTGACGCAATGGTATCCAAGAGAAGGAAAAAGGAAAAGAGGGAGACCACAAAAAAAGTGGGATGATGACATCAGGCAAGTGGCAGGCGTAACATGGAACAGGGTGGCTCAAGAAAGACGTGAGTGGAAAAGGTTGGAGGAGGCCTTTGCCGACTGGCAAACAGATCTTCAAAAAATAAGAAAACCTCAAATAAAAGACTAGATTAAGGATAACAGTAGTATTAAGCTTTGCATGTACTTCTCCTTTTATGTAATTTTTGATCTGAATAAAATGGCTAAATAATAATGCTGTGCATGTGATTGAATCTTTTGTCGAAATAAAGATAGTTACATCTTTAGACTTTTACTCCGCCCCGTTTATGATGCTAACAAAAGGTTTTACCTTTGCATCTGCATCGGCCCGGCAGGTTAAGTTACTTAAAGTTGAAACAGCTTATATATACGTCATACTGCTGGGCACAGGCCTTCTCTGACTTCTGAGATGGTTTTAGGGCAAGGAAGTGTCTGCTGCGCTGCCGCAATGCGTGTTGGCGAACTTCACTTGTCTTCAAAAAATTATATTTTTTCTATTATTATTTCTCTGATATGCAGGTTTCCTCACGATGTTTTCCTTCACCGCCGAGCACGCGGCAAATCAGCACTTAAAATTGCAATTAACAATTTCATTGGTGCCGGCGGGGATCGAACCCAGGTTGCTCGCATACTCTGAAATTTACAAACGCAAGGGGCAAAAATACGCATGCACCAGTCTTAGACTGCTTACGCATTAAAAAAAAGAAGCTGTATATATATGTGTAGTTAATTATTATTAGTTTTCAGTCGGAGCCTTGTGACCTCATGGATAAGTCGGTGTGTGAACCTCCAATGAGTGCACATAATATACGACTTTTTCTGCTACCAGGATAGTGCAACTTAAAAATGAGCTGTAATATATGACAGATTTCATAGCGAGGAAGTTAAATTGTTCGAAAAACCTAAAGGTTAATGTTTCTATTTGTACTAATAATTATATTTTATATTAATTTGATTAAAAATAAATAAACCGAACTGCACCTATTAAAAAGAGTTTTAAAAGTGCAAAACATTAAAGAGTAAACCACTGAGACGTTGTTTTTTGTATTATTACAATATTTTAGAAACTGATAAACTATTATTTAAAGCTAAAGTAACAAAAAACTTTACTGATATTTTACAAAAAATAAAAACACAAATTTTGAATTAAACGCTTGATTTTTTTAACAATTACCTTGCCCTTTGTCCTTGAGCCTGTGACCCTGCGAAGTGACAAGGTCAAAGATGCCTACTAAATTTATTGTTTTATTGCCGTTCGTAAAGTAGTGTAGATATGATTTGAATTTAGATAGATTTCAATTTATTTATTTATTTAATTCAAAATTTTTGTTTTTACTTTTTGTAAAATATCAGTGCCATAGGCTTCTACTCCGTTTACACGTTACACCCTATTTTTTCCAGACGGTAAAAAAATCACCAGTATATTATGTTCCCAGTAATGCATATAATTTAATCAATCTATTGAGTACCTAGTCGTTCCATATAAGGCCGGGTTTCCTTAAACCTTAATTTTTTGCCCCATAGAAATATGATGGACGTTTCGAAATCAAACTTACAAACACTCACGCGCAGAAAGAATCCGATCAATTATCGTGCGTAGAAAAAATCCAGTTAAGTTAAATCGTTAAAATTTGCAGGATATACTATAGCTTTTATTCACCATCGTAAAACAAACTACCTATTTATATTTTTCCGTAGGCACAAAACTAACCTACATCTTTATAAAATTTCGCCAAAATCGGTTCAGTAGTTTGGTTATGAAAATCTAACATTACAAACATTTATTTAATTAGCCTGGTTAAGTTTCTTTATACTTAATATTGCTATCCTACTAGTAAAGGAACCTAACACAGATTTCACCAAAACATGTAAGAATAATGAGAAAAAAGACAATGAGTAAATTTTACAAAATGTATTTATTGTGATTCATAATCTTCAAATATGGTTACATAATCGTCATCATCGTCGTCGTCATCATCATCACCTACATAAAACATAAACACTCACACCTGTCACCCAGAGGGGTAGGCAAAGACTACTACGACCTTCCATTTGGCACGATCCTGACATACCTCTTTCGCCTCCTTTACATCCACATATCTACGCATACATGCTCGTCGGTTAAGGGTACTTATAATGTAGCCACATTTTCAAAATATCGCCAATTTGGTCGATAAACTTTTTTCTAGGGCGTCCCTTCCCGACTCTGCCGTTCACATCTGCCATATAAATTTGCTTTGTCACTCTTTCCTCATTCATTCTTTGGTCTGGTTCTGGTCACAACATCATCTTGCATACCACATTTATCTCTTATCACGCAATTTCCCACCCTGTCATTCAGATTCTACCCTAGCATATTCCTTAAGGACTGCATTTCTACAGCATTTATTCTGCTTTCGTGCTTCTTCTGCCACACCCAGCTTTCACTACCATACATTAAAGTAGGGACTAACACAGCATTATGAATTACCTTATGTGCCTTTTTTGACACCTGTTCTTCAAAAACCCATTCACTCTATTCCCTGCATACTCGTCGTTCTATATCCTTATCACATCTACCATCCCTGCTAAATATACATCCCAAATACACAAACTCATCCACTTGCTCAATTAACTCTCCTTCTATTCTTATTTCACATACCGTTTCGCTTTCTTCTCTTTCAAAAACCATCACTTTCGTCTTACTTGCGTTCACTTTCATTCCCCTTTCTTTTAATTCCCAGTTCATTAATGTAACCATCATTTGCAACTCAGCCGCCGATGACGCAAATATTACTTGATCATCGGCATGCATTTGACGGTTAACTCGCCCATTCTTAACCCACATTCTTCATCTTTCAAAGTTTGCAAACACCTGTCCATAAATAGGTTGAACAGCCAAGGGGAAGCTACACAGCCCTGTCTGACACCTTTTTGGACGCCAAACCAGTCCAAGTAGACCCCATTGATCCCGACACAAGCTAGTGCTAGTTCCTATGAAGAGACCTTAATGCCTGTATCAAACCAGCGCTCAACCCATATGAATTCAGTGTTTGCCATAACACATTCCTGTCCACTCTGTCATAAGCCTCTTCAACTACGGACGCGAGCGACTCATCCCCCTCACCTCATCGCGACGCGAGCGACTTATCATCACCTACATTTATTATAAATTTATCACGGATCGAGTCAATCATATGATCAAGAGTGAACATTTTGTTCTCTTCTTTAATGGCATGTCTTTTACACTGTTGCCATTTATTTTCGGTAATTCATAACTTCAAACATAATTATGAAACATAATTACAAAAAAGGTTTATTACCTCTGCATGACCTATATTTCCGTAACAATTATACCAGTCGGCAAAACTAATTACCCCTGCCCACACTGAATTTAAGGAAAATATGTACTTTTAAAATTGTGTGATATAATTTAAATCAACATTTGATTTTAAAACAATGTTTTTGTGTATTAAAATGAAAAATCTATTAGAAATTATTTTTTTATTTTGTAAAATAATAGGCCTATCTTTGTGGTAAAGTTTTTTAGGTCCGACAACACGTCAAATGTCAAATTTCTATGGAGTAAAAAATTGAGGTTTAGGCCATAGTATTATTAGGCTTAGAACTGCAGCAGGCGCACGCAAAGTGAAGCCGTTTCAAGTTAGCCTTTTAAGGCTACGTACGGCTTTCAGTATGTCAGTACTCGAGTCCACGTAGTCGTGTAAAGAGCTCGCGCAATTTTGCAAAAAACAACTTACTGTGGTTTAAAAGGGTGTCACAACTCATCACACAATCATAAAAAAAATCTCATTTCACTGGTAATTACCGCCTAAAATCTTATACTTTTGTAAAAAAAACATTCATCAAAACAAAATAATAAATCTTAAATTTGACAGATGCCAATATAATGAAAATGTTGCTAGGCATAGTAAAATATTTTACCCCATATTTTCATATTATTATAATCACATACTGCCAATATGGGACTATTATTGTTGTATTTTTATTTGATAGATAAAAATAGCTACAATATTCACGCATGAGTAGGTATTTTTAATTGCCAAATACTATTAGGGTTCCCACTTGCCACGAAAAAAATGTGTTGATTTTATTTTGTTTTGTTAATGTGCAGTTATTTTTACCTTTTCTATAGAATGTGTTTTAGGATAAGTAACTTACCCTACGAATATTTTCTTATAAATTCTAATACTGATTTACATATCTTTAACATTTCCAAAAAAAGACGATACGTTTTGCCACTAACCAACAGTGGTGTATTAAATTATGATAAAGACAATATTTAACGTTTAGCTAAAATAGCACAAAAATATTTATTTTGTTTTAATGAAGTGTTGATAATAACGTGAGTGTTCTTGCCTATTTAAATGTATTCGTTTTTAGATTTTCGTCTGGTCTGACAGTTGCTGCTCAACACAGACCACCCAGCTACGAGACATGAAGCCATTACGATTTTCTAATTAAATTAGTCTGCCAATATTAGAAGAAAGAAAGGTGTGCGGGCTGCACGTGAGATGTAACTTAGAGATGTGTCACATTCATATATCGTACACGTAAATATGAGAGACTATGAAAACGTAACTTATTTATAAACAAATGAATGATGCGTAAAATACACCGTTTCAATATACTACCTAATAATACGTGTAAAGTTCTTGAAAATATATACATGTATTTTACATGTCATTTACAACGCTAATCGCTTACCATAAATCCGTTAAGAGCGGAATGTGCCTAAGAAATACACAAACATTTATACATACTCTCGAAAACCATGACTTTGCTTCGGCCTCGGTCGCGACAGTCAGGTGAAAATATAAGGTAAAATTAACGTAATATAAAAATGTAAACGAAAATTACCTTTATTTTTTATAATTAATTAGGGTTTATAAAACCGTAATTTGGATTTCAAATTATACTTACGTATAGATTAATATACACAAATATAATAGAATGACTGTTCGTCTACACAAAACATAATAACACAATATATAGTCGATAAACTTGCATCGTTACTTTTTTGAGCATTTCTACTTACACGTGCCGCCTGCAGCCCCTCTGATTAATAGACAGAGACGCTACTATAATACTGCGTGCTTGACAAGGACAGCCTCAGAACTACGACAAGAACACGTTGAACTCTCACTGTTTTAGTATTTTAAGATTATTAAATGTTTAAATTTAAATTAATTTTATTTATTTAATTTAAATGTCTATTTTTTGTACTTTTTTACGCGCACACGAAACAACAATTTGATTGAACCGAGTTTCTCGGCCGAGTACTCCGTTGGAAAAAAATTGAACCGAGTAAAACTCGGTACTCGTTACTTGGCGCATCTCTAAAAAATAGTATTCAAACGTATACAAATAATTAAAAAAAAATAAAAAAAGAATAACAATACTCTCAACGATCCCGCGTACCGATGCACATGACAGTTAAATTTAAATAAATCAAACTTTATTTAAATTTAATTTATTTTTCAGTGGTCGAATTTTCCAAATTAATGTTATTTCTATATGTTTGAATACTAATTTTAATAATGACGGGAACTACATGGTTTTTGTTACATGTTGCATATATCTGAAGAATATATTATGTAAGGTACGTGACGGTAATATGGTCTCCTTAAGCTTTGACGCCCTATAAAACCAAAACTAGGAGGATGACAGAGACAAAAACACAAAGTCGTATACTATAACTAATAGATAAAGAAAAAAGTTGCAAACAAACTTTGGTAATAATTAAGAACACTTCAAAAAAGAACTTAAAAAAAACTAACTACACTACACAATACTAAAATGTTAACTGTCAAAATGGCGTCGATAAAGCAGCGCCCTTTTGACGTTTTATTATTTGGTTGACTGATGAAGAGCTATCGTATCACAGACTACTACTATGCAAACAAGACTATAGTTTTTGAGTCATAAGAAAGTGACCATATTAACCGGATATATATATATATATATATATATAGTACGTGATATATTAAGTTTGAAAGAAATAGATACGATGAAGGCGATGAGTGACTTGCGCAATCATTACTAACTACATACTGTTTATTAATGGTTACAGACCAAAGCACAAGGTTACACACGGTTTGGCATTAAGACGTAAATTAATTTTATATAATACCAGCGACACTAATAATGTGGCGTTAGTTAGATACGACAATTTATTATATAAATATTATATTTAAAATATAAATTATACAAAATTTGTATTTTCTTACTTGCACAACTTCCTTGTGTAATCGACTACCACCAGAGATTTTTACGGACCGATACGACTGAGGGACCTTCAAGAAAAGAGCTTACTCCTTTATAAAAGGCCGGCAACGCATCTCCAATATGCAATACCGGCGCCCATGAATGTCGTCTACAATGTCCTGGGACAATGTAGGTATCGGGCCTCGGGGTAACCCCCATTGCCCGGGTGTCCTCATATCCCATTACTATGGGACAGTCATTTAGCCTTTTAGGCTCGATAGCATACACGGGTTTTTTCCGTGGTGGCGGTAAATTGTTTCTCCGTAGTTATCCAACTACGGAAAAAGGTGGTTATTTGGTAAGTCTGAGTTGGCCTTTCTGCGGCATTGTGGGTTGTTACTCAACTCTCTAATCACATATAGAGAGGAGTTCTCTTGGAAGAGGTCGCCCGTCCGGTGGCCGGGTGTGTAACGGCGCAAAGCCTAAGTTAAGGTGTTCGTGTGGCCCGTTATCGGCACGGTCAAACATGCCGCGCGCTAACCGGGCCACGAAGTCGGTGATGTTCTCGATCTTCAAGTCGGCCGCTATCACGTCGTTCCGGACGTAGCGACCTGCTCCGACGATCGTCCTTAATGTCAGATTCTGCTGGGCCTGTAGTCGCCGCCTCAGTGGGTCGCTCAGAAGTGCGTACCAGGCCGGTGCAGCGTAGGTGATGCTTGGTTCGTATGGGCAGCTTGGATGCCAGGACCGGCAAGAGCGTCGCCCGCGCACATCGGGCCCGGCGGACGACGAAGTCGACGTGCGCGGTCATGCGCAGCGTCCTGTCGATCCTGCACCCAAGGTAGGTTACAGCCTTCTGGTACGCAATCTTCTGGCCGTTGAGGGTCAGCGGAGGTGGAAACTTCCTGAGACGGCGAGTGAGCAGAGCGGTCGTCTTACCAACGTTGACGACCATCCTCCACTCATCCAGCCATGGTGGCAGCAGGTCCAGCAGACGCTGCATCTTGGCAGTGGCTATGTGGGCTCTTCTGGACGAGGTGAAATAGGCGCTATCGTCCGCGAATAGCGCCAGCTCAACGTCGTCCTCCCACTCTTGAAGCCTGCCTGCCAGTGTAGGTATGTCGTTGGTGTAAGCCGCGTACAGGACTGGAGACAAACAGCTGCCCTGTGGGACGCCGGCTTGGATGGTTCTCGTTGCGGATTCGGCGTCCTCTACGCAGACGTAGAACTTCCTGTCTTCCAGGAAAGACGCTATTAGCCGCAATATAGCAAGAGTCCCTCTTGCTATATTATATATACTGGTCTGTTCCTTCAGCTTGTATAATAGTCCTGCGTGCCACACCCGGTCGAACGCCTTCTCGATATCGAGAAAGACGCCCAACGATATGCGGCCACGATTGTACTCTGCCGCAAGCAGGTGCAGCACTCTAGTCAGTTGAGTGACTGTGGAGTGACCACTCCTGAATCCGTGCTGCTCCGCCCGAAGTTGGATGCACGGACGGAGACGTCTTAGTAGCAATCTTTCAAACAGTTTAGCTATATGTGGTAATAGCGTGATCGGCCTGTAGTTGGCAGCTCTATGCCTGTCCTTCCCGGGTTTCGGCAAGACGATAATTTTGCCTTTTTTCCAGTCCTCCGGGAAGTGGGATGTCCGCAGTATCCCATTGTAGAGTCGACCAAGCTCTACTATGACTCTGTTGGGCAGCTGTCGGAGTGCAGCGTTGGTAATCCCGTCGTGCCCCGGCGCCTTCCTCGGTTGCAGGCAGGTTACTGTCCTCCGCAATTCTGCGGGGGGAGATGAACCAATCTCCTGCAAGAGGCGGCGCGGGCGACGTCAGGAACTCCTGTACGCGACTTTCCTTCCGGGCATGAAGCTCCATAAACTCCGCACTTGCTGAATTCGGCATAAATTGCTCCTCGAAGTGCTCGACTAGGATATCCGCTCTGCCCTTGGCATCGTAGCATCGTTTGCCCGTATTGTCAGTCAGCGGGCAAACGGGAGGTTTGGATTTGGTCAACTGCCGGTTCAGTCTATAGAGCGACGCATCATGCTCTTCCGCCTTCTGGATGCGCCGATCCCAGGCCTCTCCTCTGAAGGCCTGGACTGCAACCGACAGTTCCTCCGATAAGGTGTTCAGCTGTGTATTAATTCTGGGACAGCGAGTACGCGCCCAGAGCTTTCTCAGCGCCCTTTTGCGCTTGATCTGCACGCAAATCTCACGCGGCAGATCGTCTCGCCTTGCTGTAATCGGGACGACCGTAGAAGCCGCGTGGAGGGCTTCCTTGATGTTGTTGGTAATTCTAGTAGCAGCGGCCTCTACGTCGTCCGCTGTGCTTATAGGATGGTGTGCTGGAGGTCTCTGCTGAAGGTGTTGACAGTAGAGCCTCCAGTCGACACGGGTTTTAAAAGCTCTAGGCGGCGTAGTCACTGCCTTTAGGCCAAGGGTTATCAGTAACGGGAGGTGCTGTGAAGGAAGGTCGTTCGAAGGCGTTCAGGTCCCCGGCGATGATTGTAGGTGTATCACCTTCCATCACCGTCCGGATGTCTGAGGAGCAGAATGGAGTCCCCGGCGGGCGGTATGCTGCATATATCCGTTGTTGTCTGGTAGGATGGTAGTTTCAGCTCTTGGTGGACGATGTCCCTCCTCACTAGAACCGCCGTCCCTCTGTAGGCGGCCCCTTGAGAAGTGACCTCGTCCCTTCTGTAGATATGGAAGTTAGGCAGCTTTATATGCGTCTGGATTCAATATTGTTTCGCCCAGCAGTATGATATGTATGTCCTGTTGCTGGGCGACAGTGGGGAGTTCATGCAGCTTCTGCCGTATACCGTCCGGGTTCCAGTACATTAGGCGCAGGTTATTCTCCTCCATAGTGCCTGGCCAGGAGGTTTGCCAGCGCCTTCATGATCGCTGTTACGGGGTCAGTCCCGGCGGCTCTTATATCGGCCAGGACTTGCGTGCCGACCTCGATGGCAATGCCAACTAAGTGCTGGATTGCATCAGCTGTTTCGAGGCCGGCCGTCGGCGGTCTCCTATATGAAGGCGTTGGTGCTGGTCTCGGGCGTTGGTCTTCTTGCTTTTGGGTGGAGCGCGCTCTGTGTGTGGGTCGCGCTCTCTCTACGGGGGGGGCCCTCTCCTGCACTCTACCCACGCCCTTTTTGGTGTTCTCCTGTATAACCTGCGCCTGAGAGGCTGTTGGTCCAGGTGTCGGGGTAGAGGTAACAGCCCGAGGAGGCTGCGACTTCTTTCTGCTTCTCTCCCGCCTCCTCTTCTTTGAGGGTTGCCGTTCTGTGGCAGAGTTGGCGGGAGGTTGCAGAGTCGCCCCGGTGGTTGCCCTTTCCTCTACGGGTTCCACCGTTTCCTTGTGTGGTATGGGTGGGGGGGGGGGGCTGGTTGTCTGCCCTTCCCCGTGATGGTAGCCCACCCGTCTTTCTGGATGGTGATGGCTTTAGGGCGACTCTGGGGGATCCTTTTCGGGTCCTCCGGGAGTAGCCCCGGTAAGGTAATCCCCTGTCTTCGTGCAGTCCTCCTCAGGACTGGACAGCGACGGTCATTGGCTGTATGGTTCTTGCCGCAGTTGGCACATGTGGGTTCCTCTTCCCTACCCCGAGGGCAAAGGCTCTCTATATGCTCCCCGGCGCAGCGTACGCACTTCACCGGCCTGAAGCAGTTAGCTGTGGCGTGTCCAAAGGCCTGGCAGCGGTGGCACTGGGTCGGTCCTGCTTTCCTTTGCCAGGCCTCAATAACTACTCCTCTCATATAGAGTAGTTCGTCAACTTCATATAATCTCTTGAGCTGCTCCAGGCTCAGATGGTCGAACTGGGCAAAGTAGACGCATCCTGGTCTGCCCCTTCGTGGTGGAATCGCTTTAACGTATTTCACCGGGAAGCCCTTTGCCTTTATAGCCTCCTCTATGGTACTGGTATCGGTCCCCATTGGTAGGCCCCGGATGCCCACTTTGGTGGGCTTGTCTTCATCCGGGGTATAGCAGTACCACGACATGTTAGGTGTTGCCTTGGAAAGTTCAACCATATAACGTTGAACAGTCCTAAATTCAGTGGCGCTCTGTGGTGTAAATCGAACTCCCTTCCCGAACGGACGGGCATTCAATGGGTGGCCCAACATTCTATTGAGCTCCTTGAAATGCCTCGTCCAATCCGGGAGGCATTCAGCCACTATGGGCTATATATCTTGTTTTCTCCTCCTGGTCGGCAGGCTTGTCTGAAGTCGCTGCCGCCGGTTTGGGTCGCGGTACTGCTGGCGCAGCTACCATATGGGCGTAGCTAGTGGATGGCCTTTGGCCATCATCCAGCGGACGCCCGGACGGATTTTAGGTTGTCTTCCTAGGCGACGTGGACGGCGAGTGTCCAGCCGATGTGTTCGGGGCTAAGGTCGCATATGTAGTGGCACTCCACCCGTACGACCCTTCTCCTCCCTGCTCTAGATCCACAGCATCCATGCTGGAGTGATGTTCCTCTGATCTAGGGGGGAGTGGGTTTAGTCGGCGATGGCGACTTCGGTTGCGATCTCCTTATAGGTCGTTGGTCTTGTTCCTCCTCGGAAGTCGAATAATCCGAGGAGCTGGAGGATCCTAGGCATTGTCTCTTCTCCTGTAATGATGCTACAGTCTCAGGTGGAGTATGCCTTCTCCACGACTTCTTAGCCCGCTGTTGTTGGGGGACCGGTTCTAGCTCAGTCGTACCTTCAGGTACGATGGGCGAGAGCGCGGTCCTCGGTGCGGGTCCTTTTCCTGGAGATAGGGGCTTCCTAGTCGGGATCTGCGAGTAGGAAGACACTACTCGAGTCCTTTCCGGATTGACGATGTCCCGGTATGCTATCGGTCGATCCAGAATACTTGTTCAGTCCGGTGGTTTTCTGGTTCTCGGTGGTGGCTCCCCCTTATCATTGT